GGTGACTTAATGGTTTTCTTTGTATTTTGTAAACTAAAAGCAAACATATAATCATTATCGACAAAGAAAACATTAGCGTATGAAACAAATTTCACAATGAGATTATTCTATTTTATGCTTATTTTGCGACTTAAAACCAATATTATCTAATTAGTTGATGATTTGGATCATTATTTAACTTTTTTTGTATTCTTAATCAATTATGATAGTATCCATCTCCATATAACATAAGCTTTGATATTTTTTTATTATTTATTATTAGGTGTGAGCCCCGTATATTACACGGATTGATTTAAAAAAAATATTAAACATTAAAGTGTAAACAAAAAATATTTTTAATGTAAAACTTTAAAATAAAAAAGAAAAAAACATATTTATTGCAATTTAATATATATATATATATATATATATATATATATATATATATATATATATATATATATATATATATATATATATATATATATATATATATATATATGATATTTAATACTTTACATATACTTTATTTTAATTTTAAAATTGAAACAAACCAAAAATTGACAAGTGGATAATATTTATTTTAAAAATACCACAAAATGATAAGTATCAAAACTCATAAGAGATTGACATATGGCAAAAAAAACCTTCATTTATTAAGGATGATTATTTATTAAAGAGGATGTTGGTGATTTCAAAAATAAAATGTTATTTATACTATTAGATTTTAATATTTTTAAATTTGAAGCCTTATAATTAAATCTTCAAATTTCTACCTAAAACTATTGATAAATTATTTATCATTTATCATATTCATTTGAATTTTTTCATTTTATTAATTATTAGAAATTAATATTAACATTTTCAATTTATTTATATTATTCATTATGAAGTAATTGGTAATAAAACAGGTTTTACAAAAAAATATTAATCAATTACGTAGTTAATGAAAGTTGAAACTCTCATAACTCTTCACATTTCTATCTAAATTATAATTAACTAATTACAACATCTAATTTCAGGTATTACTCTAGTGAAGTCTAATTTTTAATGTCTTGAATTGTGGGATGTTGACTGACTGCGACACGGTTGTGGATATCCACCACGAAGGGACCATGCCATTTAAGTGGCAACATGGTTAGGTGTCAGCTGAGGAACGTTGCCATCTGAGTTCAAAAACGTAGTTCTCGGGCCTTGAGCCCTATTTAAAGAAAGTAAGGCTTAGGTTTTGTTCCACCCTCAACATCTAATTCTTCCAAAGAATCCTAGCCTCCAAGCATCTTGTTCTCTCTTCAAACTTTGTGTGTTCATGTGATTGTGAATCTTTGAAAGGAAGTTCTAATTCTATTGAAGTTGTTATTATCCTTTGATTTGAGGATTTTTCCTTCTTGTACACTTCTAGGCATTGTATGTGATCAAGTCTCTATCTTTGTGTGCTTACTTCATGGATCTTATGATTTATATGCATTTGGCCTTTTTTATGGATTATGAGTAAGGTTCTAGGAAACTCCAAAATAAATATTAGATCTTTATGGTCCCTTGGTGTTCCGCAAGAGGTTTATGGTTTTGATGTAAAGTCTAACCCTATTTGGTACCATGCATGGGGTTATGACCATACTTTTACCATTTTAAAACTACTTTGGTGTAAGACATGCATAAGACATGCATGCTCATAAAGTTCTGATTTTTATGGACCTTAAGGAAGTCTGAAAGCTTTTTGGAAAGTATAAGACTTGGACTTAACAAATTAAGAGCATAATGAGAAAACTGTAATGTCAAACGAATCACGACACGTCAGGGGCTGACCACGGCACAGTGGACGAAAGGTCCTGCGTTTGTTTTCTCTTTTAGTCACCTTAATGCGGCTAAGGATTGAGGTGCGATAGTCGGTGAGGGTTGACCATTCACTTTGATCATTGAATTTGACCAGTTTGACTTTTGGTCAAACTTAGAGGTTTTAGGCGGTGGACTGAGGTGTGACCTGTAATTGTTATAGGTGGTTCTTGCAGTTTGTTCTACATGGCTTAGAGTATTAATATCCAACTTTTTATTTAGGTGAGTCTTCTCACTATATTATAGGATACTATGTGTCATGTTATGTTAATTATCTCTATGATTCTTGCATGTTTGTTTGTATGCTTGTTGGGTTGGACCCATTGTGCTAGGCCTATTTATATGTTTAATGGGTTGGACCCGAATATAAGAATGTCGGGTTGGTCCCGTATGAATGAAACATAATTGTTGGGCTAGGCCCTTAAATTTTATGGTATGTGGTATTTTGAGGAACTCACTAAGTTTTGTGTTTACAGTTTGAAGTTTAAATGTTTCAGATACTTTTGGTAGCAAGGGCAAGAATCTGGCACGATCACACCGCATCGACATTTATGTTTTTGAGATGCTCCACCTATGACTTTATTACTATGATTTATTACTAGACTTATGAAATGATTACTCTTGAAAATGAATGGGATGTTTTGGTTGGTTTGAAATTTTGAAAATTTTACTCTATAGTTTGAGGTGTTATATTGATTTTATTGTTAGGTCATAAATACTATATCTTTATAAAAAAATTATCATTTGTTTATATTGTTGGTAACCAAAAAACTTACTTTGCTAACCAAAAAACAAGGTTATGTTTTCAACTTATTTATTCAAAGATATATTAGATTATGTTATTTTTATCACAAAGATAAAATAGTATACTATAATTGACATAATAAAAAAAAATATAACAAAAAAACTATAACATAGCTTAAGATAAATTATTTATTTTTTATTATATTAACTTGGAATTCCTTATTTGTTAATAATTACATATCAATATAAAACTTTTTAACTACTTTATATTTACGATATGGTATCAATTATAAAATAATGTTTAACTAAATTTATTTATAAAAAAAAAGTTAATCAATGAAGTAGTTAATAAAAGTCGAAACACTAACTCTTCAAATATATATATATATATATATATATATATATATATATATATATATATATATATATATATATATATATATATATATATATATATATAGAGAGAGAGAGAGAGAGCTAAGTTTAAATGTTTAAACTAATTATTGCGTTATTGTATGCATCAATGTGGACCAACCAAAATTTAAAATATAAATAAATAAATAAATAAGGTAATTAGGTAATTTTATAAACAACTTCCCCAAATACTTTCCTATAATTATGCTAGTTGATTTTAACCTAATTTATCCCATTTTAATTACCACCGTCGTCACTTTGAAAAATCCTCCATAGGATTCTAGCTGCATCCCAATTCGTTTCTCCAGTTCTGTAACCAAAGTCGGTGTCACGTTAAATAGGGGAAAAGGATCTTCGATCCTTAGTCTTCGTCTTTGTCTTCATCTGATCATAAAGGAAAGACGAACAGAAGCAGGCAGCGATGTGGTGATCAGTGGTGGCTACTGTCAACAACAGTGGAGAACCTAGCTAAGAAGATGAGGCAGAACATGCCTATTCCTCATTGGATCCGTATGCGCACTGACAACACTATTAGGTACAATGCTAAACACAGGCACTGGCGCCGCACCAAATTAGGGTTTTAAATCAAGGAGCTTGATTTATACTTTTTATTTGATCTGTAATGACTAAGATATACAAAAGAAAAAGTTGGAATTCTTGATTATGTATTGTTTCACATTCAAATTTTGAGACATATTGGAATCAAAAACCATGTCTATCAGTTTGTTTTCAGTTTAGTATGTTGATTTTTTCCATAACTTTGCTTTGAAGTCCTGCTTTATTCTCTTAAATGCCTAAGACATAGGGGGGGGGGGGGGGGCTGTGTAACTGTGTTGATCATTGCTTTCTTGAAACTCTTTTGTGGTCTTAAATGTATGTATAAAAGTAGGATTCTGAACTGAATATCACGTAGATTCAAAACCTTAAATGCAATGCATTTACTAGATGCTTATTGTGCTTACACGAAAAAGGAAGAAGCAACTGTAGGGGGTGTTTAGAGTTAATTGTTTGACAGCAATGAGGGGTGAAGAAAGTCAGTAACAGGTGGTGTGTTTGGCTTGCTGGGAAACCGATGAGGTGTTGTTTCCGATTGTTAACAGGTTCTTTTCCCTTTTTGTTTTTGTTTGAATGTTTTATAGAAATCAAAGGGAGGAATTTGTGTTTGGTTTGATCGTTTGATAGAAAACGTAGAAGAAGAAGAAACACAAAAGTGATTCGATTTTTTTTTTCTTTTTGTGTGTGGTTATAATCTTTCCTTTGTGTGTGATTGGGTATAAGTTTTTTATGTATAGCTTTGGTTTTGGTTTAATTGTTGAAAGCTAGGGATTTGATTTTTTTTATTTCTAATTCATAAATGACATCCTTTAGTGGTTTAATTTTATTTAGGACTAATATACTTTTCAGAATGAGCAGCTTTTTGGCTGCATTTTATGAATTGATTCATATTTCAATTTATGTTTTTTTTTTTTCTTTCTGATTTAACACACCATTTATGTGGACATTGCAAGATCTTGACAAGGTTGAATTTTGAAAAGGTATCAAGTATGTTTATGTAGATGATTCAGTTGATGATATTGTTGAGATTCCAATTCTATTGGAATGGAATCACGAATTCTAATTCTGTTGGAATCACAATATTGATGCTTGAAGAACGGACCACAAATTGAAATGGACCACATTATTCTTTTAGAATGTATTAATCATTGTTAGATTTTGATGTTTTCTTTCCCGTTTTGAAAGTATTTTTAGTTTTATTCTTTAAGACAAAATTGCAAGAATGGTTCCTGTGGTATGTCAAAACTAGCAACTTTGGCCCAAAACGGGTTTGGCTTGCAAGGATGGTCCAATAGTTTCGTTTTGTTGCGATTTTAGTCTAATTTCCAATAAACTTTTTTATGATGACGGATTTGCCCCTTATTATTTTATTTTCTAATTTTCTTTTATTACAACAATTAAAGAACAATTAAAAATAAAACAAAAATAAAATCTCTCTCTCTCTCTCTTTCATAAACCAATACAATCAACACATATCAACCAATACAATCAACACATATCCTTGTTCTTCCCTTTCTGCATTCGTTCCCAGCCAAGAACACAAGAGCATTCTTGTTCTTTTCATGTATACCTGCAAATGAGAAATATAATGCTTCATCTTCTTTCCATGACAATTTCAAGCAACCAAAACACAAACCTAAACTTAGTGATTTACACCCCATCGATTCTATCAAGCAAAACAAACATACATCCATCGATTTCCTGTAAAAGATTAGCCTCACTCATTCATTCCATTTATCCATTTCTGTCAACAATCAATCAACAAACACTCATCTTAACCTAAATCTATTGACTAAACCCCATGGATCTACAATCAAAGTAAAAAAGAAGAGAGATGAAAGGAAACCTATGATTGTCGAGTAAACAACAGCGCCGAACACCCCCCATCGCACCTGCCTTTCTTCTCGTTGAGCTCCACTGCCAAACACACCACTTGTGCAGATGATGCTGCTCTCTTAGCTTAACTGGTTTTCCCTTCCGCATCGCACCTTGTTATCAGAACAGGAAGAGAGAAGCTTAACTGCCTTCCCTTTCCTTCTCTTGGTCCTCCTCAATTTTCCAAAAACAAAGATTTCGCAGGAAATCGACCCTTATTACTGCCTTACCCATCCTGTTCGCTCACCCGTTCCATGGTTGACGACCACGTTATACCCACCGACGAGCTCCCTCGTTGCTATCAATCGAAGTTGGATCACCGGGATTAGCCGCTTGCGAGTCTTCTTCCCTTCCCCTCGCGAATCACCATCCACCGTCGAGCCACACCCCTCAATCGAAATGTTACTTAAGATTTCTTACGATTCTTCATTTTCTCCGGTCCCATCATGAGCTGGAGGCGCTTCATCTTCTTCACGATCGGTCATCAAGCGGAGGCTAATGTTTGATTTCATTCCTGTTTCCTTCGTGTTTATTGTGGTTCGTTCGGCGTTTATATCACCCGATCAAACATCGAACACGGGCACAAAAAGCCCTTTCCCTTTTATCCATCTAGATCGATTCAAGAATGCAAATAAAATTTTTGTATTATTATCTTTTAATAATTCGGATTTTTAGGGCATTTTCCATTGTAAAGTTCTTGGGTAATGTTCTAGGGAGAGAGAGAGAGAGAGAGAGACAGAGAGAGAGAGAGAGAGAGATTTTCTTTTTCCTTTTTTGATTTCTGTAATAAAAAAAATAAAAAGGGAAAATACCAAGGGCAAATCCGTCATTATAAAATGTTTTAAAAATTTTTGGACTAAAATCGCAACAAAACGAAACTATTGGACCGTCCTTGCAAGTCAAACTCATTTTGGACCAAAGTTGCTAGTTTTGACATACCACAAGGACCATTCCTGCAATTCTGTCATTCTTTAACAATAAATGTAATTCTTAACAATTGTTACCCGTATTCTATAACAAAAATAATGTATTTTTTTTGTTTTTATTCTTCAATTGATTGTTCAAGAATTTGCTATTCTATAAGAAGTTTTTAAATTAATGATCAAGAAATAGGTTCAAAAATATTTTTATTATTTATGCTTCAAGAATATTTTTATTTTTGAATATACTCATAAACATATTCGGTTAGAATGTCCGAATTAAAATAATTATAATTCGTAAAATCGGATTTTTAAAATTAATACAATCTATGATCTCGTAAAAAAATGCAATTTTCCTTTATTAAATCTATACTATTTGACTAAATAACCCTTGTAATTAATTAAGATGATATTTTTCAATTATATTTATTTCAATAATATATATTAATCACTTTTTTAAAATAAGTAAAATTGATTGGTTCATATTTATGCATACAATAACACAATAACCCTATATATATATATATATATATATATATATATATATATATATATATATATATATATATATATATATATATATATATATATATATATATATATATATATATATATATATATAAAGGTTGTAAAAATCGTTCGACGGTAGCTTTGCGGTCGACTAGGGTTAAGCGATTAATCAGTTTGGCGGGGATTAATCGGGAACCATAAATTACTAATAAAGTTATTTTAAAACTTAATATATCTTAAGAAAAAAATAGTAATTGAAATTTATAATTTTTAAATTTTGAAAATTTAAAATATTTGGTATAATATTTGAAATTTTGAATATTTAAAAGTTTAATATTTTGAAGTTTTGAAAATTTTGGTGTAATATTTGAAATTTTAAAAATTTGAATTTTGTACAATCTTCCTGCCAAGGACCACCAAAGACCGTCGAGGGCCGCAAAGGAAACCCTAGTTTGAGTTTGACCGATCTTGACCAATTTCCGCCAAGCACCCCTAATCGTAATCAGTTGCAGACCGCCTAGCGCCTAGGCGGATATTTACAACACTGATATATATATATATATATATATATATATATATATATATATATATATATATATATATATATATATATATATATATATATATATATATATATATATATATATATATATATAAGGTTTAGGTTCTATGGAAAACAAAAAACCCTAAAAAAAACCCTAAAAATCATAAAAAATACTTAGAGATCACATAACTTTTTTTTTTTTTAATTTTTTAATGAAAAAATATCAGGTTTTTAAATAAATTCGCTGATATTTTTAAAATTTTTTTTAATTTAAAAAAATTTATTTTTTATTTTTTTCATCGAATTTATTAAAAAACCTGCGATTTTTTTATAAAAAAAAAATAAAAAAAGTTTTGTAATATCTAAGTATTTTTTTTATGCATTTTTATGATTTTTAGGGTTTTTTATTTTCCAAATAATCATTCCCTATATATATATATATATATATATATATATATATATATATATATATATATATATATATATATATATATATATATATATATATATATATATATATATATGTGTGTGTGTGTGTGTGTGTGTGTGTGTGTGTGTGTGTGTGTGAGGGTTCAATTGAGAAAAAAAAAGATTGAGAATGAGTGAATCATTCTCAGCCACACATTTATTTTGATGCAAAAAACTTAGACGTACCGGCGGAATGGGTGACGGATATAAATGTGTTTTCCAACCAAACATGTTTCCTTCAGGTATGCTAATCATTATCTTAATATACAAAAAAACATGTGTTTTTTTTTTTTTTATTTTTATTTTTTTTTATTTTGAGAATGTTATTTTTATCGAAAATTTATTTTAACTATATCAAAATTTGTAATTTTTTATTCTCTATAAATAGACATTCATGTTGATATAGTTTTGAGATAAAAAAAAAAAAAAAGAGTTTCAGCTATTATTATTTATAAGTAAATAAAAATACATTAGGTTTTTATTACAATACATTCGTTATTCAATTATGAATATATGAATATAACACGTTATAAAGTTTTCTTACCATATATATATATATATATATATATATATATATATATATATATATATATATATCATCTTTCGTCACATATTATATTTATATATGAATAAAACGTATATTTGTTATCATTATATGTTATATTAATATATTAATAAAACATTTATAAGATTTTTGTTACAAGTTATTTATTATTCATATATAAAGAAGTAGTATGTTAGAAAAAGATGAAGTGTTCTGAAAATTTGAACTACTTATTCATGTAAGAATAACAAATGAACTGTAACAAAATTGTGATAATATGTTCTTCGTATATAGGCTAGGTTATAATGTGAATTGTAAGTATTGTGTGGATGTAGGGATCCTTTGTGATCCAATCATTTTTGATAATTTAAATAGTGATTATCCTATTTAATTAATAAGCTCAAAACGGTTTTAAGGGTAATTATGGCAATTTGGTTAACAATCAAATATAGCATGTGAGATATTCTTGCTACTAACCAAACAATCACATCCGATTTCAATAAATTCGGGATTTGAATTTGATTTTCTAGATATTGGAGTTTAAAGTTGATAAAAAAAACTATACAAAACTTTCTCTGATTGTGCATTCTTACAAGAATGAACTTACCTAACTTAAAGAATAAAAATACAATAAGAAACCATATTCTGACAGAATACATATACAATAATCTGATATAAACATTCTTACAAGTATGAACATACATAACTTCAAGAACCAACATTAAAGAATAAAAATACATGTATAAACATAACATAAGAATAACTATTCGAATAGAATGTAATATGTATATTCTAACACAACACAATGACAATAAAGGGAAAAAAAAAATACAATTCTTCTAAGAATAATCATGAATTCATGTAAAAAGTATTACATCAAAAAGAAAATCTTAAAAATGTTCTTTAGTAATTCTTTAAGAATGAATGAGAATACATTTTGTGAGAATGACATTCTATGAGAATGTCTTTCATAAAATCAAATTCTATTTTTTATTATTATTATTATTTTTTGCTCTGGATCCATGGAGCTGCAAGTGGGAGTAACTCCAAAAGCCATAATCTTTTGTTGCTTATCTTCTTTATTCATCAAAAGTATCAAAATATCCTTCTTCTTTGTCTTTTTTTCTTTCTTATGCTGCACCTAGAAGCATGTAATCTGATAGAATGCATTGATTTCATTCTGAATATGTATATACGCTTCAACTCAAATACAAAATAAAAATGAAACATAAAACACAAAATAAATAAAGTACAACAATTATGAACATAATTTAATCAAATGGAATTTTACTAACCTGAATCGACTGACTACTTCAGACACAACCTCATGATTATCAAGAAAACACTTGAATCATGTTTATCAAACGAGCCCTGGAGGGTCGATTCTTGATTTGGCATTGGGGTTAGGCAACGATGATGGCTCAACGATGGAGAAGCATGCACCAGAGATAACGATCCCCTTTATGCCTCCTTTATTTGCAAGCGGATAAGCAAAAATGTCTTGTCTCCTTCTAGACTCGGGTGGTGATAAAAAAGAAATTAATTCACCTTCTATCAGTGCGGAACCAAAAAACCCTAAAATCAAAACCTTTGATATCCTCAGTTCTTAGAAGTATCATCTCTAAATACCTTCATCGAATTTGAATAGAAATTTGAATTTAGGAAAAATATAGAGCTTACCATTAGATCTTGGAAGCGTGCACATGTTAGATGATTCCCCGCCATTCAACCTTTCCCCTAGATCATATAAATTGGAATCGTTGTATAGAAATCAAGTGCTTGGAGTGAAATCGATGCTACTGCGATGGTGTTGATGAAGGTGATGAGGGGCACGATTCCTGTTATTATAGTCAACGAACAGGAGGAGTAAATGGAAGAATTTCGAGCGATGGGTTTAGAGAAATATAAGGTTAATTAGATGGAACCGAATTTAGGGGAATTGGCCCATTATTAGGGATTCTAATTAATTGTATACATAAAATGACTAAACCATCCTTTATTAGCTTAATTAATGATTTATTTTTTCTCAAATTCAGATTGGTTCCTACAACCACACAATAGTTGTTCGTCAACATTTGACCCTAGCTCCTTCGTATATTAATATAACTTGTGAGGAAAGTCAATACACGTTTTATTCATATGTGAATATAACATGTAACGAGAGTTGATGTAAGCAGTAAATAGTTTATGATATGTTATATTTATATATTGTGACAACCCGATATTTCAACTCTTTGTAATGACCTAATAGGTCAAGTTTTGTAAACATCTTTGAGTTACTAAAATTAACTTTGATAATAAAATGTCCAAAAAGTTTCTGTTTAAATTCTTCTATGTTTATATATCATCAAACCATGATCGTATGTAAAAAGAACGTCCAAATCCGACTTCGTATATTGAAGTTATGATATTTCAAGTCCAGCTTAGCAACAAACGGCTAAAAACTCGAAACAGAGATCGAGCGACATTTGGCCGGAATGACCTAAACGAGAATCGAAGGTCTCGACAATGGTATTGCAATGGTAA